CTTGTGAGAAAACAGAACAAAAAACACGATATTACAGACAAATACAAAACCGGACCAAACTAAAAACCATGCAATTTAGTAATGAAAGACAAACAAAACCATGAGACAGAATACAGTGCAGCACAAAAAAGAAAAACAAAAACAAAGAGACAATACACAATGCAGCACAAAAAATAACTGACAAAAAAAAAAAAAAAAAAAACAGCGAGACAAAACATAAAGACAATTTTAATACTAAACCAAGATAAAAAAAAACACAAAAAAAAACAAGTAATTTAGTATTTAAAGACAAACAAAACCTGAGGACAAAAAACAATGCAGCACAAAAAGACAAACAAAAAACAAAACAAAAACATGACAAATGAAATGATACAGATTGAAACAAAGTGAGATTTTTTTTAACCACAAAATACAAAAGCAAGCCAAACTTAAAAAACAAGTAATATAGTATTTTTCAGACAAACAAAACTGAGACACAATGCAGCGCAAAAAAGACAAACAAAAGAAAAACAAAACAGCGAGACAAAACACAAAAACAGTGCAGCACAAAATAAAAAACAACAAAAAAACAAAAACCTAAAAAAAGAAATAATACAGCTTTAAACCAAATAAGTTGTTTTTTTTACGAGAAAACAGAACAAAAAACAAACAAAAAAACAAAAAAACAAATACAAAACCAAGCCAAACTACAAAAAAAACAAAAAACAAGTAATATCGCAATGACAGATGAAGTTGATACAAATCGAACAAGCCAAGCATTTTTAAATGACACAATTTAGCCTAAAGAGGACAGATCGTATCATCTGCCTGTAGCAACTGTAAGAGCTGTCATTATTAAGCAGTAATAAAATGTGTTATGACTTTTTTTTTTTAAGTGATATTAAAACATACTACAAGCAATCAGAAGGTTTACAAAACCTGGAAATTGATTTCCTTTGATTTAAACATGTACACATAAAAATGTAAACTGTCTATAAAATCCCCTTTTAGTAGGACATGTCATGCTATTTCTTTTTTGTAACATGTCGTCTTCTTAATTATAAGGTTCTATCTGACATTTTTGACAAAATTGAGTTTTTGACATATTCTTAATAAATGACATCCTATTTACATTATGGTATGTTTTTTATAAGTTGTTTACATTTTAAAACTCTTTATTTAAAAAACAAATGTTACACATATACTGTTTGCTAAGAAATGCAAAAACTTTACAGCTCAATATCTCAAAATCATTCAGAATGCAGATAGAGCCTTATTATTCCAAGGTGACAATGTGTTTAGATATCCAAGTAAAACAAACTTAATTCATACATTAAATCCAGAGTTTTCTTTTATAAACATCCTGCCGCTATTAGAGCGCAATGAATCTTTGTTTGTTCGAGGCTGTAAAGAATCCACCAGTTATATTCTTTATTACCTGGAAAAGAAGGATGCGTTTTGATGCTGCATTTGAAGAAGCCTTCGAATTTTTAAAAACTGAGACCCTTCTAAAGAATCCTGCGGAGGATACAGCATCTGAAATAAGACAGCTAATGCAGCAAAGAAATGACAAACAAAAGCAAAACAAAAACATATAAATTTTTTTTTAAAGATTTACACAAAATTTGTTTTTGTTTTTTTTTTTTTACTTAGAAAACAGAAAAAAAAAAGAAAACAGAACACGGAAAAAACAAAACAAAACCACAAACAAATACTGAACCATACCAAACAAAATAAATAAATAAAAACAAGTAAACTAGTGTTTAAAAATACTAAACAAACTAAAATAAAAGAGCATAAATGTATTTCCAGCACATTTAACACGGTGACAGAATGAGAATACGTGAGCAGTGTTCGCATTTTTGTGCAGTGGAGTCAAGTGATGAAAATGGCAGAATGATGGAAGAGTAACCTTGACCACAGTATCTTGAGGGGCTGTCAGAACGGCTTCAGTCTACAGATGAGAGCCGTCGTGATTGAACTGACAACAACAAGCTGCTAGCGGACCGTGTGTGTGTGTGTGAGTGCGTGTGTGTGTCGGCCTCTCTTTGGTGTAATGTCGAGAAAAAAGGGAGGATCTGAAGCCTCAGGTAAAATAAATACAAATTCCGAATGGTGCCAGCAGCACCTGCTTGATTTACATTTTCTAATTGCAAAAGAAAGAAAAGCCAAAAAAATGTTCCATCAATACATTGACAAGAGAAAGAGAGGTACACAGAACAAACTATTTGTTCTTTAAGTTTTGAGGGATTGCTTACACAGTCAGTGATTATTTATTTATTTATTTTTTTGCCAAGATATTGGTTTTAAACACATGTTTCTTTCTCAAAACTCTCTTTTACTGGTACATTTCATTTAAAATTACTAGTATATATAATGTATAACAGATATATAAACATACACACACACAATTAAACTAGCTAGTTGCTAAGGAAACAAATTTTCATTATTTTCATTTCATTTTTCATTCATTTCACTTGACTGCACAAATAACTAAAACTATATATATATATATATATATATATATATATATATATATATATATATATATATATATATATATATATATGTAGTGTGTATATTGTATGTATTTCTAAATATAAATATATAGATTATATGAATATGACAAAAACACAAGTTACTAAAACTTTTCAAATGAAATGAAAACAGAAAATGTAAAAATAACAGTTAATTTACTATGAGATGACAACACTGTCTCAATACTTAATGTAACACTAATTGGATTGCACTTTATTTCTATTATAATTTACTTTAATTTAATGTAAAATTATCCATTAGAATAAGACATACAGTTGAAGTAAGAATTATTAACCCCCCTTTGGATATTTTCTTTTGTATTTCCCAAATGATGTTTAACAGAGCAAGGACATTTTCACTGTATGTCTGATAATATTATTTCATCTGGAAAAAGTCTTATTTGTTTTATTTCGGCCAGAATAAAAGCAGTTTTTAATTTTTTAAAAGCCATTTAAGTTCAAAATGATTAGCCCCTTTAAGCTATTTTTTGATAATCAACAGAACAAACCATCGCTACACAACAACTTGCCTAATTACCCTAATCTGCCTAGTTAACCTAATTACCCTAGTTAAGCCTTTAAATGTCACTTTAAACTGTATAGAAGTGTCTTGAAAAATATCTAGTAAAATATTATTCACTGTCATCATGGCAAAGATAAAATAAATCAGTTATTAGAAATTAAAGCTATTATTCTTAGAAATGTGTTGAAAAAAATCTCTCCATTAAACAGAAATGGGGTAAACAGGGGGCTATTAATTCAGGGGGGCTAATAAATCAGGGGGGCTAATAATTCTGACTGTTTGTCACATGATGTGAAAAGCATAAATTTAATATGAATTTTTGCAGTTTTTTCAGCAACCCAAAGGCCTCCGAGAAAAATCTGATATTTCAATATGAGCTCAAATATTAAATCCTTTTCCAAAACCAAAATGCACTTTCCAACCCACATCATTTTTGATCTGACAGAAAATACTCATTTCGCCAAACTAGAAGACTGCATTTTATGGATTTATAATTCTGACATACAAAAGAAATATGGCAAAAACAACCTCACTCTGGATAATGTGCTCTGAGAATTACTGGCAGATGAAGAGCTCTGCAGTCAAGTCCCAAATCACTAGCAGAAGCTTAAACTGGTTAGCCAGGTCGTCTTTTGACACCTCAACCCAAAAAAAAAACAAAAAAAAACAACAAACAACACCTGCATGGGCTGAAGTCACGTCCTTGATGGCATTCCAGTCACCTGAGAGAAAGAAAATGTCCCAGGTCTGGCTTTCTCTTTACTCCAAACACTACTGGGTTGTTTTAACATGTCAGATATGGATAAACTCAACTGTGGGGTTAAATATCTTGGTCCTGCTTTATATTAAATGGCCTTAACTGCCTTGTGCTAATTCATTCATTAATTTCCCTTGGCTTAGTCCCTGATTTATCAGAGGTTGCCACAGCAGAATGAACCGCCAACTTCTCTGGCATATGTTTTATGCAGTGGATACCCTTCCAGCTGCAAGACAGCACTAGGAAACACCCATACATTCTCAATCATGCACACTCATTCACTATGGCAATTTACTACATCCAATTCACTTATACAGCATATCCTTGGACTGTGGGTACTTTCTGCTTATATTTAAATCAACAATTTGGTACAATGCACTTGAGAACACACATGTTTTTAAAGTCCATGTGAAATCAAGGTTTACTATGTATATTGTGCTAGTGCACATTGTTTATCTTTAGGTGAACAAATAGCCCATGCAAGTTAATTCATTGAAAGAGAATCATTTGTTTTGGTTGTTCTCAATTGAAATCTGGTAATTTGCTTCCGCATTGGAATGATGGTCCTTCTCTGTTGACATCAGTTTGATGCTTCAGCCACAATATTCTCAATATTCTTAGACCGTTTGCTACAAGGGAATAAAGTGCAAAAAGAAAACTCTGTCCCCTACTCAATACTCTGACTCAGTTGGAAATTAGTCGGGATCAAGATACTGAAATTAAACTATCAGTAACTTCTGGTTCAGTAGGACTTTAATACAGTATTTACTTATATTTAGAAAAACTCCATCTCAAACTAATTTCTATTGTTAGACTTATAATTACACAGATGACCTACCCTTAAAGCTACCCATACCACTAAACATACATTGTTTACATTTGTTTATTTTATTCATTCATTCATTCATTTTCATCCACAGCGAAATAAACCACCTACTCACCTACCACCAGCATATGTTTTAGACAACGGATGCCCTTCCAGCTGCAACATAGTACAGGGAAACATCCATACACTCTCACATTCACACACAAACACTACAGCCAATTTTAATTATTCAATTCACCTATAGCGCATGTCTTTGGACTTTGGGGGAAACCGGAGCTTTATTATTTTAATAGAAGAATAAGGTAATCAACATTGGAAAATGTCAGGAGTCATTTTATAGCCAAAACTTTCACAGTCACTTTCTTCACAAACTGATGTCTAAAGTAAATGATTTTATTTCTTTGTGCTTATAGGTAATGACAAATGTTGGTGAGTTCCATTTATACTATCCACATTCATATTATATAGAACATTCTGTTCTAGCGGTCATGCAGTACATTTGAAAAACAGCTACACTGCAAAAAGTGATTATACTTGACTTTACTTAAAAAAAGTGAGTAAACCCATCGCCTTAAAAATGGCAAAACATGGCAAATTATGTATAGCCAGAATTGTGTTATGCTGCATTTCCTCTTTAAAAAAGGGTGGTGTGACATCGTTCCTTTTCATGCTGACCAACTGACTGCTTATCTCCAGCTTTCCCGCTGTTACCAGTTTGTCCAGTAGCTTGCCATGTACATCTGAGAACTTGAGATGCAGAGAGAAGACCACAATGACAGGGTTCGAGTCTGGTGAAGAACGGTTCCAGAAAGCAGATAAGACAAAAACAGAAGCCAAAAAAATTAAATAAACAAGTAAATAATAGGGTGATATTGTGTAAAAATCTGAAAACATGGTAAAAAATCAGGTGAGGGCTTTTCTTTTTCTGGGTTGCATTTTAAAACTGTCACTTGGGTTTAGGGAGGTGGGTGGACAGGTCAATCTGTGCTTTTGAAAACACTATTGGTTGGGTTTAGAGAAGGAGGACGATGGGTCTGTTGATCGCTCAGTCAGTTAGACAGTCATTCGGTCAGTCAACAGCGGCCTCTGGTGGATTTATGTGAGATCAAAAAGTGAAAAAAAACCCACTTACAAGGACATATTTGGCGCTCTCCAGAAATGTATATATCGGTATGCATTCAGAGCCTGGGTTGGAATTACTACTATAGTTATATGGGGTTTATTTTAACAAAGTTATTAAACTGCAATTTTTTTAAATTTCCATCTCAACAGTTCTAGTGTTAGGGATCTAAACTCTCAAGACATGCTTGAGGGATTCAACTAATCACAATGATATGGATGGCTGGCCAATCAGAGCACACTAAGCTTTTCAGACTGACGAACTTTCGGCACGTTTCAGAAAGGTGGAGCTGAGACAAGCAACAATAATGTACGGTATGTGAAAAATAATGTACTTTTGACCCTTAAACCATATAAACACTGCATTTACACCAAGTACAGAAAAACAATGTTCTTTTAGCAACATCATATGACCCCTTTAAAACAAACCCAGCATTAATTTCACTTTCCATTTCCAAAACCACAAGAAGTGTTTTGCTGTGTTCAACTCAAAGAGACAAACAATGGTGCGAGTGAGTGAGATAAATAAAGGGAGGGTAGAGAGATGGGGAAAACAGAGCGCGGGTCAGAAGTCTCGGATGACACAGGTGTTGCTGCTGCCACCAAGAGTGGCAGTAAAATTGGCAGGAGCTTCCCTGTTGAGCTTCCTAGCAATGTGGCTGTTTGGCAGATGAGGCCGCGGCTGTGATTAGCAGCAGCACTCTTGCACTAACAGTGAACGACGGTGGAGGTAAAGCCGATCGGAGGGGGGGAACAGCTGCGAATGGAGCTCGTAACAGTGAAACAGCGTGCCAGACTGACCAACACTGTGTCGGATGAAGCTAATGCTGGAGGAAAGAAAGCGTGACACCTGGAAAGGACAGTGAAAAGCTGTAATAAAAAATATACTTATAAAATATATTAAAATATATCTATCTATCGATCTATCTGTCGATCTATCTGTCGATCTATCTATCTATCTATCTATCTATCAGAAGTAGCAGTGCAATATGGCTTTGTATCGGCTCTGGTGGGAGGCGTATGTTGGCATAAGTGTCCCACCAGTGACAATTTACAGCCATATTGTACTGTTACGAGTGTGATATTGCATCTATACAAAATTGGAAGACATATTTGTATGTATAAAAAAGAAAATCAAAGACAGAGAGTCTCAAAAACTATTTTATAAGGAACTACTTTCTTCTGCCATTCATTCACATCTGCAGCTGACAGAACAGCAGAAACCTTTGTTCATTCACCAACAGGGCTGGACTGGGGCAAAAAAATCGGCCCTGGCATTTTGGGCATGGCATGCACATCCAATATTTTTATCAACTCATATTCTATAAAACACAAAAGCCATATATATGAAATAAATAAATAAATACAAACTTTAATCTCAATTTAATTTCCGTATACTGTCCATAAAGATATTTGTTGAGTTCTAAAAAATACAATATTCATTCATTTATTTTTCTTCGCATAAGTTCCTTATTTATCAGGGGTTGCCGCAGTGGAATGAACTGCCAACTATTCCAGCATGTTTTATGCAGCAGATGCCTTTCCAGCCACAACCCAATATTGGAAATCACCCATACACACTCATTCACACACACTCATACACTACAGCCAATTAAGCTTATTCAATACACTATTCACTCAGCCTATATTCAATAATAAACATAACAAAAACTGCCTGCTAATGCATGGGTAAATCTTCAAAGGGAACAGTGTACTTTATAACCTCATTTACCTCATCCTGCTTGCTGTTTCACTATCTAAACAATGAAAACATAATATAAGTCAAATTTGTTTCATTTTGATATTATCTTTAACAGACACCAAACAGCCTCATGTAGCTGCATATTTATATGAGCATCATCTTCACTCAGCATATTTATAGCAAAAGAGGGCTTAAATATAACTGCCTCTTTTCATTTCCATTGAAAAGAATTAACTTTACCCTGTCTCTTTTGCAGAATATCAGTTTTAATAACCAATAATGGAAATTATAACAGTATAACGTACATTAAATTTAAACGATAAAGGTAAGCAACCAGTCAATGTGCAGAATCAGTGTATGTGGTTACATAAGTTCATATATTAGCTTATCTTTGCACTCAGCCAAAACGGTTAACTGAGAACAAGTGATTCAAAAGACATAAGAATTGTTAGATAGAGACAACAAGATGAATTCAATATCACGTCTAACAACTATAGTGAGATGAGATCATCCAGCAGATGAACTGTCTGACATGCACTATACTCTCACCTGGGGTTTATGCTCACCCAATGAATTACTGGCTGCAGCTCTGGGCAGAGAGTGTGTGGTCACTTGATTTGCGCTTTTAGCCGTGTACTAGAATGAACAGAGAACTTTTCAGAATCGCTAAATGAAACGCCGGTGTATTTCCCGCGATTTCTCTGCGCCTTCCTTGCGTTTCTTCTCTCTGACTCTCGACTACTTTGACAAATACACACAGACGACGCACGCTCACAAAGAGTCCAAAATAGGAGTTTGTGATTGGGCCAGCCCAATGTCAATACCAAAAAGAGCCAATGGGCTGCAGAGTGTCACATGGGCCGGCCCGGTCTGTCTGTCTGGGAAAAAAGCATCTACTTTCAGAGGATCACAGATCACAGCAGCATCAATTAATAAGGCAGAAAAAAAAACGATAGGCTGCTAAGCCTTTTATGGGCCGATCAGATCACAAGACGATGATCAGCCTGGCCCAAAAAGTACGTCGGCTCGGGAAAGTGCCCGGTCTGCCAGATGGCCAGTCCGCCCCTGTTCACCAACATCACTTTAGCTAGTATTTAAATGATTCCCAGAGTAGTGTCTAAAGTGAAGACAAAGCAGGTGATTTTGCTGACATTTTAAGATTTTAAGGCTAAACAGCAAGAAATGCCATCAGTCTAGCCATTTCCCAGTACTTCTGTTGCAATCAGGATATCACAATAGTTAACAATGAAAAAGCAAAGCAAACACTACCAGAAACACTACCAAACTGTGGTATAAATACTGCACTACAACATACAAAAAAGATAAACTATATATCTATAGTCGATATATATATATATATATATATATATATATATATATATATATATATATATATATATATATATATATATATATGTATATACTGTATGGTGACAGAGACTACATAACAAGGCCATTAGAGGAGAAAAACTCAAACAACATGTTTACATATTTATTGTTGGTAAATATGTTCTTAGTCTACTACCTGACAAATAAGTATAATATAATTAATTTATTATTTTTGCATTGGTGTCATTGCTTTGTTCATTTATTAATCACAGATATATAGAAAAATTGTACGTAGATTTAAATTTATTTTAGCTTATGCAACAATAAAATGTTTAATTTTAATTTGTTTAGTTATTGAATTGTTTTGTTATTTAATTTTAGTTACCTTTAATTTAATTATAGTTTGATATCAACAAATATATTTTTTCAGTAAACAATATTACTTGTTTGCAGAAAAATGTTAACATTTAAATGTTTTAATTCAATAATAAAATATTTATTAGTATAATATAGCATTAATAAAATTACCAAATAATATGATTTACAAATAATACTAACACTATTTTTATGTCTTCTGGACATGCAGTTTTATCATTATACATATATTGTACCCAATGCACAGTTCACAAAGAAATGCATGTTTTTTTTTTTTGTGTTTTTTTTTTGTTTTTTTTGAATCTCTAATAAGTTTCAGACAACACACTGTAAAAATGATTTGTTTACATGGATTCAAAAATACTGTAGCATAAAAACATCTCTTGTCAGTTTTAGGTCAATAAGTGTACATGAAAACACTATACATGTGCATGACATGACATATCACTATTCTCACAGAATCATTTTAGTAGTTTACACAGTGACAAAAAACAGTAATATTTTTAAAAATGTCGACTCTGATACCCATAAAAGGTTTTTAATTTTTACAACTTATACAAAAAGATTTTGATTTGTACTAATCTACATTACATACTGTTAAGCAAGCTGATTTTCAACATAGCCCATAGCCTTTATCAGAACAACTTTATCAGAACAAATATCAATTTAGGCACTTGTGATAACTCATCAAAAATTTTGCAATGTCATCAATTTCAACAAAAGACTGTATTTATTATTACACAACTGATTTTTGTGCAAATGAAGAGATGCTCAAGACGCTTAGGTGTGTGATGTTTGACAAAAGTGAATGTTGAGATAATGAAAGGTGCTCATCAGTTTTGCTTGCAGTGCTGTAACAGACACCTGACAATAGGTGAGACGTGTCTGCTGTCAGATGCCTGTTCCCTGAGGTGAAAACACCTGCGACTTCACTGCTCTCTCACGCTAACAATGCCAAAAACAGACATCTCAGACACATTTACTGGTAAGAGTCGCTCTCTGAAATGCTGCTCAGGATACTAAAGAAGTCACATCTGTGTGTTACCGTCACTCATTCAGCTTTTGAATATAAATGTATAGTATGTCTATACATGAGAAAGACTACATTGAGGGTGTTATTTCCACGTTTTTAAATGAATGAAAAAATAAATTAATATTTTTTTGTTTAGGAATACAATACTCACTCAACATTAGCCTTTTATTATTCATAAGCTTGAATGAAAAATTGTTTTACTTGAACAATTGATTATTTTTATATATATT